AGTCCCAGCTACTTGAGAGGCTGAGGCAGAAGGATCGCTTGAGCCCAGGAGTTTGAGGCTGCAGTGAAAGCTATGATTGGTGCACTTTAGCCCCAGAAGACAGAATGAGAGCCTGTCTCAAAAAAAAAAGAAAAAAATTAGCTGGGTGTGGTGGGTACTCCTGTAGTCGAAGCTACCTGGAGGCTGAGATGGGAAGACTGCTTGAGCCCAGGAATTCAAGGTTGCAGTGAACTATGATCATGCCACTGCACTTCAGCCTAGGCAACAGAGCAAGAGCCTATCTCTAAAAGAAAAAAAAATTATAAATAAAAGTTTAAAAAAATTGAAAAACTGTGCTGAGACACCATTTTTCAAAAAGATTGGTAAAAATCAGTAAGTTTAAAGGGCATTTATTGAAACCTTAAAATCTGTACCTCCATAATATGCCGAAATAAAAGACCTTAAAAAAAAAAATCAGTAAGTTTTATAGCCCACCATGCAGGCAATGGTACAGGGAAACAGGCACTCCTATACATTGTCACCAGGGGAAACCAATAATACCTAGCAAAAGTATAAACACGCATACCCTTTGACCCAGCAATTCAATTTCTAGGGGGTATCCTAGAATGCATGTTTACCTGTGTAATATGTTGTATGAGGTTATTCACTGTAACACTGAAGTAGCAATTAAAAACAATCCTCAGATCAATAGGAACTGTTTCAACTCCTGTTACTACTTTGCTCAAAAACCCTCCAGGGAGAAATCAAACAACCTGATTGAAGATGGGCCAAAGACCTTAACAGCCCCCTCACCAAAAAATATAGCAAATAAACATATGAAAAGATACTCCACATTCTAGGTCATCAGAAAAATTCATATTAAAACCAAGATATTACTATAGAATGTATCTATTAGAATGATCAAAATCAAGACCACTGATAACACCAAATGATGGCAAGGATAAATACCAAATGCTCGTGAAAATGTGGACCAACAGGAATTCTCATTCATTGCTGGTTAAAAATGCAAAATCATACATAGCCTCTTTGGAAGACAATTTGGCAGTTTCCTATATAATTAAATATACTCTTATCATATAAACAAGAAATCATGTTCTTTGGTATCTACTCAAAAGAGTTGAAAATTTATGTCTACACAAAAACCTGCACATAGATGTGGATAGCAGCTTTACTCATACTTGCCAAAACTGGGAAGCAACCAAAATGTCCTTTAGTAGGGGATGGATAAACTGTAATACATCCAGACAATGGAATATTATTCAGCACTAAAAAGAAGAGAGTTATCAAGCCACAAAAAGACAAGGAGAAAACTTAAATGCCTATTTACTAGCTAAAAGAGGCCAATCTGTAATGAATGGCTCCAATTATATGATACTCTAGAAAAGGCAAAACTGTGGAGATAGTAAAAAGATCAGTGGTTTCCAGGAGATGGGGAAAGGGAAAGATAAATTGGAGAAGCATGGAGGATTCTTCTGGCAATCAAACTACTCTGTATGATAAATATAATGCTGGATACATGCCATTATACATTTGTCCAAACCCACAAAATGTACACTGAAGTGAGCCCTACTGTAAACTATGGACTTTGGGTGACAATATGTGTCAATATAGGTTCACCATTGTGACAAATGTACCAATCTGGTGGGGGATGTTGATAATGGGGGAATCTATACATGGGGTGAGGAGGGTAATATGAGAAATCTCTACCTTCCTCTCGATTTTACTGTGAACCTAAAACTGCTACTTTAAAAAGCAGTCTTAAAAAAAAAAAAACAGGAAAATGAGAAACAAAAACCTTCCAGGGGGAAAAATGTGGGTCCTTATCAAGGCCTATAAGGTACCATATAATCCCACAGCCCCCTCCCTTCCCACTCTCCCCTCTGTTCACTTCACATTGGCATCTTTGCCCTCCAACAACCCAAACCATTTTAGGGCCTTGGCACTTACTGTGCCATCTGACTGGAACACTCTGATCCCAGTAGTCAATGTGGCTTACTCCCTCACTTGCTCAAATGACACTATCAGAGGCCCCCTTAGACAACCTTTTGTAAACAGCAACCAACTCCCTCTCTTACCCTACTTTATTATCCTCCATATGGCTTATTACCCACCTATTTGTTCATTTTTCTCTCTAGAGAGAACTTAAGCTGCCTGAGGATAAATTTTATTCACTTCCTGTATTCCAAGCCTGTACCTGACATACTTGAAGGAGCACAAAGGTTTACTGCACAAATTATGCAATAGCCAATAAACTAAATGACATAAAACATTAAAAAAAGGAGCCAAGTACCATTTTTACTTCCATGAAGATTTCCAAATCATTAAATTAGAAAAACAAGTCGGCATGCAAAATCCTGTCGCTAAAAAAAAAAAAAAGAAAAAGAAAAACAAGGTGTGTATAATGTGCTATATTTTGTGTTAAAGAAAACAGGAGAAAATATCTATGTATATTTGCTTACATAGAGATTGTCTTTCCAGCAGGCTACCTAATTGGTCACAAAGGTTGCCTCTTGGAGAAAATCAGACAGCTCAGAGTCTGAGACTCTTATTTTACACACCTTAATCACACCAAGTCAAAAATGAAATGAAATGGAAAATAAGCTGGGCCAGTGGCCTGTGGAAAAAGGAAAAGACACTAGGTCTATTTATTTATTTATTGAGACAGAGTCTCACTTTGTTGCCCAGGCCAGAGTGAGTGCCGTGGCATCAGCCTAGCTTATAGCAACCTCAATCTCCTGGGCTCAAGCAATCCTGCTGCCTCAGCCTCCTGAGTAGCTGGCACTACAGGCATGTGCCACCATGCCTGGCTAAGTCTTCTTTTGTATATATGTTTTTAGTTGGTCAATTAATTTCTATTTTTAGTAGAGATGGGGTCTCGCTCCCGTTAGTTTCGAACTCCTGACCTTGAGCAATCTGCCCGCCCGGTATAGGCGTGAGCCACCAGGAAGGCCGGCTGACACTAGTTTTAAAAAGTAGCCTGAGGGCTTAACAGTTGTTAATAGGCTACTACATTCTACATGCTCCAGAAATTATCCTTCTATCCAATCTTTTCCTCATTAAGTCTGGAAAGAAAATTGCGAAGTTGCTAGCAACAGTATAAGCTATAGTAAGTAGGACTACAGGATGCATTTTCTTATATTTTGATTTTTCCATAATATGATTTTTGTCTTAATGGAGCAATAAGGTGCTTTATTGACTTAAAAATAAAACAAGGGTTTGAAACCATTGGTAGGAGTCAAACAGGAAAATGAACCATCACCAATCTCTGAGCTCATTTTCTTGTCTGTGAGACTGGGACTAAATTTTACTGTGGGGATTAAATAACAATGTCCTTTAATAGTTTTACTAGAAAAATAAACTTACAGGTGTGAAAAACTGAAGCTTTGGTGGATTTATATCTGACTCAGTCTGCTGCATACATTAGCAATTCAAATGCATTCCCTAGGCTTTGAAAGTGCCTGCTCATGCCTATTTCTTTCATTTAAGTTTGGATTTAAGAGTTTTAATGCTTTCCATCATACCATGAACCTAGTTATTTGTCTAATTTCTTTGGCTTCTCTCTGGTTGTCACCATCTTCCAAGCACTCCAAGATCAGCCAGGCCTAGTATCTGCTACTTTGACCACCTCCGCTTCATGTCTTTCTGGCTCTATCTGTATGTAGCATCTAGGTTGTTCACCCACCATTTTCCTTCACTTTGACAACTCTTTGTAACTAAACAAATCTCAAATTAATTTCAAGACTCTCCTCAGTATTCTTTGTCCTCATTAGAGGATACAGAAAGGTAAGGCCACACTTTCACTTAACATTTAATATAGTTCACAATGGAGAACTACCACTATGAAGTCAAGGGTATGTATTACTTACCCTTCTATATCTGAGGACCAAAATAAGGTTCTATCTCTAAAGCACTCCAAACAGTGAGTAACATGTCCAATTATCAGTGCTAAACTGAAAATGTAGAATGAGCCTGGACTAGCACTCTTCAAAAGTCAGTCATGGCAGGCGCGGTGGCTCACACCTGTAATCCTAGCACTCTGGGAGGCGGAGGCGGGCGTATCTCTCAAGGTAAGGAGTTTGAAACCAGCCTTACCAAGAGTGAGACCTCTGTCTCTACTAATAGAAAAAAATTGATTGGCCAACTAAAAATACATAGAAAAAATAATTAGCCAGGCATGGTGGCGCAAACCTGTAGCCCCAGCTTCTCGGGAGGCTGAGGCAGAAGGACTGCCCGAGCTCAGGAGTTTGAAGTTGCTATGAGTTAGGCTGATGTCATGGCACTCTAGCCTGGGCAAGAGTGAGACTATCTCAAAAAAAAAAAAAGAAAAAAGTTAGTCATAATCAATTTAGTAGTCCCAACTACTTAGAATAGGAAAAAAAAGGGAGGAATGCACCAAAGTTTATCATTATGAGATGCTTACTAGCAAACAGAAGGGCAGTGAGTTACAGTTGAGTATGAATGTTGTTGGCCTAGACAGCCAGCATTCTCTTTCTGCATAAAGGTAGAACGTTCTCTGCTTGTTTATTTATTTTTTGAGACAGAGTCTCACTTGTTGCCCAGGCTAGAGTGAGTGCCATGGTGTCAGCCTAGCTCACAGCAACCTCAAACTCCTGGGCTCAAGCAATCCTGCTGCCTCAGCCTCCCGAGTAGCTGGGACTACAGGCATGCGCCACCATACCCAGCTAATTTTTTTTTAATATATGTTAGTTGGCCAATTAATTTCTTTGTATTTATAGTAGAGACAGGGGTCTCACTCTTGCTCAGGCTGGTTTCGAACTCCTGACCTTGAGCAATCCGCCCGCCTCGGCCTCCCAGAGAGCTAGGATTACAGGCTTGAGCCACCACACCCAGCCTCTGCTTGTTTAAAATGACTTTTCCCCTCCCTCTCCCTTCCACACCCTTTACCTTTTCATACTAGTTACCCATCCTAAAGCTACAGGATTACTGACTCCTACTTTTGGCTCAGAACTCCCACTTGCAAAAATTGAATGTCAGGATTGTTTGTTCAATCTCTGCAGATTTATTGTTGAGTAAACTTATCTTTATATAATACAGAACAATTAAAGCTAACCAAGTGCAACAAATAAGCCTGCCAATTACACACAAAACTTTATACCAACCATAATTCAGCCAGTTGTGAAAATTCCAAAAACACAGAATCTAAATAACTTCCAACATACTAGTGATCACTCAGACCACCAAATTTGAGGCAGACCAGTATTCCCAAATTGCAATACTATCTAATGACTTTGTTGAAAAGCATAAGAAAATGTACAAGGCTGGATACCTGTGCCACCAGCACTTTTTCTGCACCAAGGATAAATACCTGGTAAAAGCTTGACCAGGAAACTCAAAACTGTTATTAACCGCTCTACTATACTTAAGATATTTAAAGTCTGAATAAAGAACCTATTGGCTATAACATTCTAAGTTCTACCAGTTGCTATCAAATAAACTTAGCTACATGAAGTGTTGCTAAATATGGGTGAGATTTACAAAACCCCTTTAGTCTCATTAACATTTCTGATTGACATCATTAATTACTTTGCACCAGCCTGGCAAAATAGGAGAAAGAATGTTGGTAGTTGGGAACTGCAAAACCTAGCAGGAAAATTAACAGGTCTTTGCTCAGAATAAGGCAATCCATCTGAATAGAAGTATCTGGACTGGAAAATTTTGCAAAGCTGGTTTACATGAAAATGTTTTGTCCCAAATTCAGACAATTCCCCAAACATGCATTTCTTTTGGTATAAAACTGGATAACTGGTATCGAAAGCAAAGAAACAAAAGAACATTGAGTGGAACTCCCTAAAATAGGGAGTTCTAATTTGACACTACCCCACCCAATAGCCTGAAAACTGCAATTAGTTACTATACTTAAAAAAGCCTCCAGAAATCAGCTTCTCCCTATTTCTTATATCACATTTAATAAGCTTTGCTTAGTTCCTGTCATGCTCGTTTATAGCCAAATCAGTGGTCCCTCTGACTTGATCATTGATCAAGTCTGACAATATGTTTTAACACCAAATAGATTTAGGGATTTGTTATGATGCATTCATGCTATTACAGGGGACTCAAGATCATCTTACCCAAAGTTCTAAGGGTAAAATGGAATTTTCAAAGTCCCTTAAGATCCTGGCCAAGTGTGTATATATAGAAGAGCTAATGATATTTAAGAAGACAACCAACACTATTAAACTTTGAATGTAGGTCTGTATGAATACCGTTAGTAACAATGTTTGACTCCTGAAGTTTACCAATTAAGTGTTTATTGAACACAAGTCAAAAATCTAGTTAGAAACATTTTATTTAAATGTGCCAAATAAAAACCCACATTTTCAGACCATAGGATGTTAATACATTCAACAAATTTATATTATCTTGCTGTGAATTTACAGAGTGATAATCCAGATCTATTTTGATTAGATGGTTGAAATATCCTTCCTAGGTTACAGTTTACAGACATCACAAATCCCTTATAATAATGTAAACAAAATAACTTTTCCCTAATGGGTGAACTTGAGAACTTCAGTCCATTCTTTCAGGACTTGCACTTCTGCGTGGACTTCCTGATGGGGAACGACTAAAAAGAAAAACATTAGGTTTGGAACCAATTAGTGTCTATTGAAACTTACTCTTCTTATGTACATGTACTCAATTTCAATAAATTCACAGGTGGCCAAAAGTACTGAGTTCCTATAGCAAACATATATATATATATTTTTTTAGTGTATTATGGGGGTACAAGCGTTAAGGTTACATATATTGCCCATGGCCCCCCTCCTCGAGTAAGAGCTTCAAGCATGTCCATCCCCCAAACGTTGCACATCTCACTCATTGTGTTTGTATATACCCATCCCTTCCTCCTCCCCCTGCAAACATATCTTTTATATCACCTAAAAATAACATATTTATATATTCACCTTTTGTCCCTATTTAAGATTAGGCTACTTAATATTTTCCTTGTCAAACTTACAAGTTAAATTAAAAAGGACAATTATTTCAAGCTTTTTGGTCATTAAATAGCACAAAGCAGATAATGATTTAGTTGTAAATTGCAACTATTTACAAGATTTATCATCCTCCTCATGTGGACACTTCCTTTTTACCTACTGCTCATTATGTAGGGAAAAAAAGCACATTTCTAAAAGACTGAACACATCTCATCACTCTAACAAACTAAAATATTTTCAACAAAATATAAACTGACATTCTTGAAGCAAGAAAAGCAATCATTTCAGAAACTTAATTATCTAGTATTTTAATCTATATAGCACCAATTCTCCAAAGAGCTCAAAGACTGCAAAGTAGGCAGTAAACAAATTGTGCAGAGGCCACACTTGACAGGTAAGATTTGGCAACAAAACATCATTTAGCTTACCTTCTTTTTGGAGATGGAGATCTGGACTTTGATCGGCTGTCAAAACATGAGAAATTCTATTAAGAAAAAGTACTAACCAATCCCTTTCTTATAGTCACAATACCATGAAACAAACCCCCAACTGTCCTAAACTTAAAATGTCAGAATGCAGTTAAACGGAGAAAGAGCCTAGCAGTTGTTGCTTAACAAAGGCCAATCTTCCAACATTCTTTCAAAAAAGTACACAAACTATTACTGTACTTAACCATGATTAATCTAGTACATTCTGTGTTAAGCACATTTATTTCTGGATGCTTCTCCATGCACTCATAGAACAAGGGCCTCTAAATATATAACTCCCAAAGTCACAAACTTCTTCCTCACTACAGCTACACATTCCCTTGTTCAGAAAGTCAGCCATTAATAGGCCATATATAAATGAAGCTCTAGTTTGGTTTATTAAAGAGGGACTTCACACCTAGGCTTAGAGTTTACACTTTAACTTCAACAATTCAAAACACTTTGAACTCTTTGGATATTGGTGCCATATAACTAGATAGAAGAGCATTAATCAGATTTTTACCCTACCTGCTTCTTGGTCGGGAAAGAGACCTGGATCTGGATCTGGATCTTGAACGGGATCTTAATAAAAAAGTGAAACACAATTATACCAATTAGTCGACATGAATTCCCTTATACACCTACTAAGCACCTTTTTAGGTAGGTTAAAAAGAGTCTGGGCACGGTGGCTCATGCCTGTAATCCCAGCTTTCTGGGAGGCCAAGACGAGAGGGATAGCTGAAGCTCAAGGGCTCAACACCAGCCTGAGCACAATGAGACCCATCTCTAACCAAATAAAAAACTAAACAAAAATTTTAAAAGAAATACATAAAACCACAAATTTCAGCCACACGTGTGGCATGCCCCTGTAATTCCAGCTACCCGGAGAGGCTGAGGCAGAAAGATCACTGACAGCCCAGTACTTGAAGCTTGTGATGCTACAATCACAGCACTCTACCCAGAGACACCAAGTGACACTGTCTCAACATATTTATTTAAAAAATTAAAAAAAAAAAAGAGCTAAAACTGAGCAACATGCAAAATATCAGTCCAAGGGTAAGACAAATGATCACTTCTGAGCAAGCTGTTATCTATTAAGGAACCACCATTTCAGTTGTTTCTACCATAGTCAAATGGTTAGTTCTTGTGGAAACGCAATATTCTCAAACACTGTGTAACATGCAAGGGAAATAGATGTCTTTCATTTCAAAAGACTGATATGACTTAATTTTAAAGAAAGCAACTTAAACTCACTTAAGCCGAGACCCCTGAGCTGAGCTCAGTGGCACATGCATGTAGTCCCAGCTACTCTGGAGGCTGAGAGGAAGGAGGATTGCTTGAGCCTAGGAATTCTCAGCTACAGTGCACTATGACTGTGCCTGTTGATTAGCCACTGCACTTTTGCTTGGGCAACAAAACAAGACCATACTTCCTAAAAAAAACAAAACCACCAGATGCCTGAAGGGAGACTTCATCAGGGTTAGTGTTAAGAGAAAGCCACTACACTAAGTAAGGTTTTATCTTGGATCTTCAAATTACCATGGTTCAGAGCCATCAATGTCAGACATACCAAATGAGGCTCCCATACACATCATCTTTTATGAAAGATATTGGATTCCTACAATCAAAGTACATTTATCTACAGAAATGGACCATAGCTTTCTCAAATGGACTGCAAGATTCAGAGTTCCTACATTTAAAGGTTTTGTGCTACTGAACATCAGTTACCTTTTCTGGCTGATTTAGAGTATTAAAAAACAGCAATGAACTTCCCATGGCATTCTGTTCCACTGCTTCACTGTTAGTATCAACATCTCATTTTACATAATTTTTTTCATTCTATCACCTTTTAAAACGTTCTACAAAGAAAATAAAGCTGAGGCTCTTAGTTTAATTTTCACCTTCATTTACAGTGTTCTGTTTAGTTAAAATCCACATTCATCCATACGTACAAAACTTTCCAAGTTCTGAAGTTCACCCCATCATTCCAAAAATGAGAACTATTCAAATTTGCTTCTTTCTAAATCTCTTCCTGGTTCTAATGGGCTTTCTTGTCACGAATCAGGCAATTACTATTTTTCAGGACTAGTATTTACCTATATAATAGGTAGATAATCTGACACCAGAAAGCTTAGAGCAAAATGCCTACCTAAAGTATATGCTAGAATCATTTGTTTCTTTACTGCCATGGCCTCTTTTTTTTTTGAGACAGAGTCTCACTTTGTTGCCCAGGCTATAGTGAGTGCTGTGGTGTCAACCTAGCTCACAGCAACTTCAATCTCCTGGGCTCAAGCAATCCTCCTGCCTCAGCCTCCCGAATAGCTGGGACAACAGGCATGTGCCACCATGCCTGGCTAATTTTTTCTATATATATTAGTTGGCCAATCAATTAATTTCTATTTATAGTAGAGATGGGGTCTCTCTCTTGCTCAGGCTGGTCTCAAACTCCTGACCTTGAGCAATCTGCCCGTCTCAGCCTCCCAGAGTGCTAGGATTACAGGCCCATGTGAGCTACCGCGCCCGGCCTACCATGGCCTCTTAACAAAGCCTTAAGAGACCAGGTCTTGCTGTTGCCCAGGCTAACAGACTAAAGTTGCACTACTGTAGCTCACTGAAGTCTCAAATTCCTGGGCTCAAGCAATCCTCCCACCTCAGCCTCCTGAGTAGCTGAGATTACAGGCACACACCATCACTCCCAGCTAATTTTTAAAATTCTTCTGTAGAGACAGCATCTTGCTATGTTGCCCAGGCTGGTCTCAAACTGCCTAAGCTTTCCAAAGGGCTAGAATTACAGGTTTAACTCTTTGCACTCAGATGTCAAGTGTGACTCGACACGGTTAGCAAAAAATTATAGAGATTAAAATTACTCTTTGAATGTATCAATAATTTGAAATATAAAAAAATCCAAATAAAAAAGTTTGTATGAAAAGAAACTCCAGTTTTTTATTCTACTGCCGCGCTTTGTAAAATCTGGGGTATTTAAAACATTAAATCCCAAGTAGAATAAAGGAATCAAGAAAAAAGCAAGCGAGTTTGCAAAGGGTTAAGCTACCTCTCCTGGCTTAGCCTTAAAATTCTTCATTTATAAACTTAATAAGAATGTCGCAAACCATGCATAAATTCAACTTTATATATCTCAAATATTGAGGCAATCCCTCTGAATTATGTCCTTAAGATACTCCACTGTTGTCATTAAGATGTGACCATCCAAATACATAAGGGAAAAAAATGTGTTACATACTGGAAATACCTCGATCCTTTTATAGAACCAGACCTAGATCTTCTGAGTGAAGCTGATCTTGATCTACGAAGAGACACAGATCTTGATCGTCGAGGAGATGCTGACCTTGACCTAAAAATTAAATCAAAGAACTTTTTGAATCCATCTTCAAATGAAGTTCATTCATTATTGCTAGGTAAGAACTGAATTACAGGCCAGGTGCAGTGGCTCATGCCTATAATCCTAGCACTCTGGGAGGCTGAGGCAGGAGGATCACTCAAGGTCAGGAGTTCAAAACCAGCCTGAGCAAGAGCCAAGACCCTGTCTCTACCAAAAATACAAAGGAATTAAATTGACCAACTAAAAATAGGGAAAAATTAGCTGGGCATGGTGGCTCATGCCTGTAGTCTCAGCTACTTGGGAGGCTGAGGCAGGAGGATTGCTTGAGCCCCAAGAGTTTGAGGTTGCTGTGAGCTAGGCTGAAGCCACGGCACTCTAGCCCAGGCAACAGAGCGAGACTGTCCAAAAAAAAAAAAAAAGATTTGAATTATACTCACCATCAAATTGGTACTGATCAACACTAAGGTGCTCACACAGTAATATTCTTTAGGAGGAGGGTAGGGGGTTGGGAGTGGGTAAATACACAGCTAATGGAGGCAGTGAGCAGTGTGTGTGTGGGGGGGGGTGAAGGGCAAGTCTCAAATCATGCTGGGATTTGGCAATGTCATAACATGTAACCAATGTTCATACCCCCATATTTCCTGAAATAAAATAAATTAAAAAAAAAAAAAAAAGGAATTGAAATAGACAACATCTCTCACCTCCGTCCTCTGCTCCTGCTGCGTGAGCGAGAGTATCGCCTTCCTCTGGATCGAGAATGTGATCTAGATCGTGACCTATTTTTCAAGTTAGAAAAAAACAAAATTTTAGACAACAACTCCTTTTTAGAGTTTGTATGCCTCTGCTGAAATCAAATCTCAAAACTATTTAAATTTAGTGTCTCATTTGGAAACAAACTCTGGGCCTACTAGTTGTCGAGATTTTTTTTTACTACCTAAAAAAAGATTTGTTAAAAGCTGAATTACATCTTATAATTACATAATATAAAACACTGTAATGTGTATTTAAAATAAACCTTGCAAGTTTGCAGGTCGACCCTCTTTGGCCCATGGTCTAGTAGATCTAGACGATCTAGAAGTATCTATAGCCGATCGCTGCATCTAGATGTTTTCTTCAATCTAACGACGATCAAACTGACAGCCAAATGAGCCAGGTGAGGCTTGATTGACGCAAGAAGATTTTTCTAGTTGGGAATGTGGTCAATCTGGTGTTCCTCTTTCTAAACCGGAGGGGGCCCCAATTGTAAGCCAAATTTACTGTTACGGCGATCACCGTCTCAAATTTTCTGCCCTTTAAAGAATAAGGTGAAGCTAGGTGTAGATGACTCGAGGGGATCTGGCCTCTTATGCTGATCACCTCAAGGTCTAGGAGGATCTTAATTGTCGGATTTGCAAGGCGCCTCAGCATGATATCATAAGGCTCGTGACATTCTGAATCAAGGCGACTGACTCAAACGAAGAAACCTGAAAGGTTTTGACCAGGTTGATTATTAATATATTAACATTTTTTAAGTACACAAAAATTGTAAAATACACCTGTACAATTAACATTCAAGTTTATAGAAAAACACTAGTTTCTGCCTTGCTAATAAAAGAATTACTTGATTAACTAGAATACCAACCATTCCTTTATTAAAATAAGTACCTGCTTCTTCTTCGCCGGCTGTAGCGATGACAATCATAAGCATAATGTCCCTTTTCGCCACACTCATAGCATCTATCATTGGGATCAAAGGGACGTCGGGCAGGTGGTCTATCAAAACGTGATCTCCGAGGCATGCCTGTTGATAGTTCAACCCTCACTCGGGAACCACAAATCACCCTATAAAAGGAAAAGTAACAAAATTGAAAAGTTAAAAAAAAAATCTTGTGACTTCTACATTTAGACTCTTTCCAACCACTCTCTCCCCTCATAAGCTTTGGCTATCTTTACTAAGCCATTCCAATTCTCTGCTTCCTTTAACTTTCCTAAGTAAACAACACGATCAGCTATTTAAGGCCTCCTGCAGACTACAGAACCCAAGCTTAGCATCTACTTCACTATTCAGCCCACAGAAGTTTTAATGAACATTAAGTTTCATAATGGACATTTTACTTACTTCCCATCCAGTCCTCGTACTGCATCTTCTGCATCTCTAGGATCTTCAAATTCCACAAAGGCAAATCCTGGAGGATTTCTTGCAATCCATACAGTTCTTAAAGGACCATAATAACTGAAAGCCCTTTCTAACTCTCCTTTGCCAGCACCAGTGCCCAGGTTACCAACATACACCTTGGTTTCTGTTTAAAAACGCAAATAGAAGAATGTACGTTATGCAAAATTTGGCCGAAGTTTGAACACATTTTTTGCCTTAAAACGGGCCATCCTTATGACTGAGCAAAGCATGTTTGACGCCCCCCCCCCATAGAGGACTGAATTTAATCTTAAAACCAGTAAAGGCCGGGCGCATTGGCTCACGCCTGTAATCCTAGCACTCTGGGAGGTCGAGGGGGGCGGATCGCTCGAGGTCAGGAGTTCAAAACCAACCTGAGCAAGAGTAAGACCCCGTCTCTACTATAAATAGGGAGATTAAACTAATCAACTGTGTCCCCTCTAAAGAAAGAATCTTGGGCCGAACGGGTGGCTCACACCTGTAATCCTAGCACTCTGGAGGCCAAGGTGGGCTGAGTGCTCGAGGTCAGGAGTTCGAACAGCCAGCCTGAGTAAAAGAGGGACCCTGTCTCTAGTATCAAATACGAAAGAAATTAATTGGCCAACTAATATATATACGAAAAATTAGCAGGCATGGCGGTGCATGCCTGTAGTCCAGCTACTCGGGAGGCTGAGGCAGGAGGATTGCTTGAACCCAGGAGTTTGAAGTTGCCGTGAGGTAGGCTGACGCCACGGCACTCACTCTAGCCTGGGCAACAAAGTGGGACTCTGTCTCAAAATAAATAAATAAATAAAAGAAAGAAACTTAATGAAAGAGACTTGGTCAGCTTGGTATCTTGACTAGAGGGCTAGATGAACAAACTTAGATTTAAGACTTTAGCAGTTTATTCAGCACTATCTTGGAAGGAGGTAACTTGTAGATAAGACTATTCCAGTCATTAAAGAGGTGTATTTAAAGTAAAATTGGGATAATTCTTTGGGATAATTCTTCAATAAAGTAAAATTGGGATAATTCTTTCTAAGTGAAGTCACTCAAGACCATTTTGCATAAGAGTTTAGTGTGCATAGAAAGTTGGGGTGCTATTAATGAAGATTTCAAAATCCTTACTCCAAAGATGCTGGTTCTTTAGACATGGGATTGACTACATGAACCTTCTTTATTGGTTAGCTCTTGGCTGTGCTTAGAAAAAATGGTTTAGGACCAGTGACTTACCTTCTTTGGAATATTTTTTTTTTTTTGAGACGAGTCTCACTTGTTGCCCAGGCTAGAGTGAGTGCTGTGGCGTAAGCCTAGCTCACAGCAACCTCAAACTCCTGGGCTCAAGCAATCCTTCTGCCTCAGCCTCCTGAGTATCTGGGACTACAGGCATGCGCCACCATGCCTGGCTAATTTTTTCTATATATATTAGTTGGCCAATTAATTTCTTTCTATTTATATTAGAGATGGGGTCTCATTCCTGCTCAGGCTGGTTCAAACTCCTGACCTTGAGCGATCTGCCCGCCTTGGCCTCCCAGAGTGCTAGGATTACAGGCTTGAGCCACCGAGACAGTCTTCTTTGGATGGTTTTTTTTTTTTTTTTTTTTTTGAGACAAAGTCTCACTTTGTTGCCCAGGCTAGGGTGAGTGCCGTGGCATCAGCCTGGCTCACAGCAACCTCAGTCTCCGGGGCTCAGCGATCCTACTGCCTCAGCCTCCCGAGTAGCTGGGACTACAGGCATGCGCCACCATGCCCAGCTAATTTTTTGTATATATATTTTTAGTTGGTCAATTAATTTATTTCTATTTTTGGTAGAGACGGGGTCTCGCTCAGGCTGGTTTCGAACTCCTGACCTTGAGCAATCTGCCCGCCTCGGCCTCCCAGAGTGCTAGGATTACAGGCGTGAGCCACCACGCCCTGCCCTGGATGTTTTGATACTGATCTTTTAGTCCTTGGAAATGATAATTTTCTACTGTAAATTAATAAAAACTGGTCGGGTGTGGTGGCTCATGCCTGTAATCCTAGCACTCTGGGAGGCCGAGGCGGGCGGATTGCTCGAGGTCAGGAGTTCGAACCACCTGAGCAAGAGTGAGACCCCGTCTCTACTATAAATAGAAAGAAATTAATTGGCAACTAAAAATATACAGAAAAAATTAGCGGGCATGGTGGCACATGCCTGTATTCCAGCTACTCAGGAGGCTGAGGCAGTAGGATCGCTCAAGCCAGGAGATTGAGGTTGCTGTGAGCTAGGCTGATGCCACGGCACTCACTCTAGCTAGGCAACAAAGTGAGACTCTGACTCTAAAATAAATAAATAGGGCGGGGGTGGTGGTCACACCAGTAATCCTAGACTCTGGAGGCGAGGTGGGCGGATTGCTCAAGGTTGGGAGTTCGACCCAGCCTCAGTGAGACCCCGTCTCTACTAAAAATAGAAATAAATTAATTGACCAGCTAAAATATATATATATACAAAAAACAATTAGGGCATGGGTGGCACATGCCTGTAGTCTTGCTACTCGGGAGGCTGAGGCAGAAGGATCGCTTGAGCCAGGAGTTGAGGTTGCTGTGAGCGGCTGACGCCAGAGCAC